ATATATATCGTGTTTATGCAAACACTGAAACTATCCATCTCTCAACACTAGTTTTCTTTTACCACCCCAATAATATGTGTAAAAATGTGTGTAATGTGTTTTAACTGAAATACCTCCAGTTCTTGTTCTCCATCGTGCAATGTATGTTCAGATATTATTTCCAAACATATCGTTCAAATACTTTACCGAATCCCGATATTAAATATGTTTAGCATAAACTGTGAGTGAGTGAGTGAGTTGGGTTTAACGCCGTCTTTAACAGTATTCCAGTTATATCACGGCGTGTCAGCTTAATGTGGGAGGAAAGCCCGAAGTGATGCAGGTCTCGGACGTTTACCACTTCGGTGAAACCCACGAGTACGGGTATGGTACTGACGAACCTAGAAACATAATCGGGGCGAACCGGGGTTCGAACCCACAATCATAGGTTTCTGGCGTGCCCAAGGGACGCAACTCTGCACAGCGAATCGCGGCGCCTCAGACGACTGGGCCCCCCCGTGCCCCCCGCATAAACTGTGAAGTATCTCAAAAAGGAAAAGAAGCATGGGGAAGGACATTGTGGGTCTATAGGGAGATAGAACAAATGTTATATTTGGGATAACACTATCTTAATAAAGTACAGATTCTCGTACTTTTTTTGGGTTGAGTCCCGTCCGGGATTCGAACCCACACTTGCCAGAGTGAGGCACCTCATCGCCAGCACACAAAGTCAGCGATCTAACCCACTCAGCCACCGAGGCTTCCACCAGGAATCTGTACTTTACTAAGAAAGTGTTATCCCAAATATAACATTTGTTACATTTGACCACTTTCTAAATGGCATTGTGTATTTATAGGCAGATAGTCCTACCAATTATTTCTGGTTGGTATTGCATTTGCATAGACATTGGTTAAACAAGCATCGCCTATGTAACTTACTTTCTGTGACCCGACAACGTGATGTGCGTTACAGTTTAAGAACCCTGCACATCAGAACATGCTGACAAGTTATAACAAGTCCGACGCCGGGTTTCAAAATGAGAATTCATATGTATTGCATATGGTAATATTGCCTTCAACTAGTAAAAGTATTCCGACTCGCGTATTGTCCACACAACAATAAGCCTTGTTCTTACTTGACAGAGTATATGAGTTTACACATTTCATCACTTAATGTTTGATTACAGCAACATTGTCTGATTTAATTGTGATATGAACTGGTTTCATAGTTGGTATACACTAACTATCTGTGTTGTAACCACATATCGGCAGACAGAAGTCAAGTCAGGGGATGGGGGATGGGGGATGGGGGATGGGGGAAGGGATTATCAGATGGCATCTTTCCTTCTCCTACTCTCCCACCCTATCAATAGTCCATATTGTTAATAGTCAAAACACCATTAATGCGGTTGTCACTTTAATTACCAGCAGGAATTAATTCAGTTCCCAAACACCCATGTTGTCGCTTCAATTATTACCAGCAGGAATTAATTCAGTTCCCAAACATCCATGCTGTCGCTTCTATTACCAGCAGGAATTAATTCAGTTCCCAAACACCCATGTTGTCGCTTGTATTATTATTTGCAGGAATTAATTCAGTTCCCAAACACCCATGTTGTTGCTTCAAATATTATCAACAGGAATTTATTTATTTGCAAACACACATGTTGTCACTTCTATTTTTATCTGCAGGAATTAATTCAGTTGCAAACATCCATGCTGTCGCTTCTATTATCAGCAGGAATTAATTCAGTTCCCAAACACCCATGTTGTCACTTGTATTATTATTTGCAGGAATTAATTCAGTTGCAAACATCCATGCTGTCGCTTCTATTATCAGCAGGAATTAATTCAGTTCCCAAACACGCATGTTGTCACTTGTATTATTATTTGCAGGAATTAATTCAGTTCCTAAACACCCATGTTGTCGCTTCAGTTATCTTCAGGAATTAATTCAGTTGCAAACTCCCAGGTTGTCACTTCTATTATTATCTACAGGAATTAATTCAGTTCCCAAACACCCATGTTGTTGCTTCAAATATTATCAACAGGAATTAATTCAGTTGCAAACACACATGTTGTCACTTCTATTATTATCTGCAGGAATTAATTCATTTGCAAACATCCATGCTGTCGCTTCAATTATCAGTAGGAATAATTCAGTTGCAAACACGCATGTTGTCACTTCTATTATTATTTGCAGGAATTAATTCAGTTCCCAAACACCTATGTTGTCGCTTCAAACATTATCAACAGGAATTAATTCAGTTGCAAACTCCCAGGTTGGCACTTCTATTATTATCTGCAGGAATTAATTCAGTTCCCAAACACCCATGTATTTGCTTCAAATATTATCAACAGGAATTAATTCAGTTGCAAACACACATGTTGTCACTTCTATTATTATCTGCAGGAATTAATTCATTTGCAAACATCCATGCTGTCGCTTCAATTATCAGTAGGAATAATTCAGTTGCAAACACGCATGTTGTCACTTCTATTATTATCTGCAGGAATTAATTCAGTTCCCAAACACCCATGTTGTTGCTTCAAATATTATCAACAGGAATTAATTCAGTTGCAAACACACGTGTTGTGCCTTCAGCAACCCATGCATTCTCGACTAACCGGATTGGTGGTCAGACTTGGTTGATGCATGTCATCGTATCCCCGTTTCGTAGATTGATGCTCATGATAACAATCACTGGATTTTCTGGTTCAGATTCGATTATTTACAGACCGCCGTTATATGGTTTGAATGTTGCTGGGTGCGGCGTTAAACAACAAACAAACAAAATTAACATGATCTAGCTCGATCTAGCTCCCCAAACGCATATACTTAACGGGTTCTAGTTCGATGCAATAGTTGAAAGGAGGATGAGGGAAGATGTAGAGAAGGTTTCACCTATCCAAACTCTTCATTTACTAGAGTCACAAATCACAGTACATACATACTTTGTAAAAGTAGAAATCTTCTCGCATTATTTTGTTTGTTCTGTTGTATTAGAAGGGTGTGAGATATTTTAATAAATGTATGAGGATTTTTAATTGTTTTGAATTGTGTGCACACATTTTGGCATTCTTGAAAACAAAAGACAGTATACGCATTTGGTTTTTATATGGAATTGAAAGTTGAAAGAGCTGTTACTAGATTTACTTATGTCTATTTCACCACCACCCATTCCTGCACCAGTTTGTTAACAAGTTACCTGCGGCTGCCGTAAAACTAATTGGTTCATTGAAGGCTTGGGCAAATAAAGCGATAGAACCATTTCCATATCCAATAGAAATCTCGGATATTATAAGCATGTGTTTATGAATTACTATCCTGCCCCACCGGTGGCATCCGTCACAAACACATGCATAGGCAAATTAATTGTTCATTGTACATATGGTACAAGTCAAAATAGGGAATTGACATCGGACATCATTTTTGTCACTGGTGCGTCAAATTTGAAAATGTTCTACACATGTCTACCATAAAACCTTTTGAAACCTTTACTAAGGCCTAGAATGCTGTACCCTTGATCAACCAACTTCTTAACAAGCGTCGTATGACGATCTTTGAAATCTTGGTAGAAAGAGCATGCTCGATTGTATCTCAAAAGTTGTGAAATGTAAACACCAAAGGCTTGGAGCTGCTGGAATATTGCTCGACGTGAAAGGAAAGTTGACTATTGGAAAGTTGAAGTCATCACTATTGTGGAGATTGTTTTCACTCCGAATCTTTCTGCATAGATCTAAATACGTAACAGATGAGACGGTCTCACTGGTGTCCTTTATTTCTAGTTCAGGTGAGTAAATCAGTGGAAGGGAATTGGCTCTTTGATTGTTACTGAACGATATCAGATCGTCGATATACATGTACCTGTAGCTTCAATTAAACCTTTTGCCCAAATTGCCTTGTTTTGACTTTGCCAATCCGAGTAGAAATTCCGATTCATATGTTCTAAGCCCATGGGGATGCCTACTTCTTGCCTAGATGTCTTTCACATATTGTTTTCTCAGTAAACTTAAGATGGCATCTGCTTCCATTTTTTACAAATTGTCCTGAACCTCGGAGAATAGATACGTAACTGTATCTGTGGTCGCCACGTTTTCTTTCAAAAAAACAACAAAACAAATCAAGGAATGATTTTTTTCCTTAGGTTTGTCATGTGGGATAGTGGTGTACAAAGTTGAAAAATCAAAAGTTTTGACAGAATGGAAATTGGTTCTTTCCTAAGATTGCAAAAAGTCAAGGAAATCCTTTGCGTTTTTGAGAATCTACATGGTATTGATTCAACTTGTCTCAAATACTTTCTGTGAAATGAAATTGCAACCATATGAGCCCTTCTATGTTCAAATGTTGTAAAGTTGTGCCGAAAAAATGCAAATATGCTTCTTTTCAAAGATATCATTCTCAGCTACCTATCATCGGTTGTGTATACTGCGAGGTATGATGTCTTTTGCCCTTCAGTTAATAACTTTTCATATTGAATAGTACTCTCTGTATGTTAAATCTTTGATACACCTGAAAACTATTCATATATATTTAGTACCTCTGAATAAGTTTTGAGAGCAAGGGCGATTAAGTATATGTGCTTTGGTTGTCTTTTTATATTGAATAGTACTCTCTGTATGTTAAATCTTTGATACACCTGAAAAATATTCATATATATTTAGTACCTCTGAATAAGTTTTGAGACGAAGGACGATTAAGTATATGTGCTGTGGTTGTTCAAATTTAAGTTATGAAGAAGAACTTATGTAAAAGTATAGACAATTATTATCCTTTGAATTTCCTCTTTTTATACAATCTATATGCTGGCATTAGATTTAATTATCTAAATGTATCTTATCACTACCCTGGTGGAGAATACATAGAGAATTTCATCGGAGTGTCTTTTGATATAAAGGGATGTGTGTCAATGACTTGTGAATTTTCGCAGTCAGTTCTTTTTGTCTGGAACATTATTTCAAAAATATAAAAATAAACTCGTTTGCAATAAAAGGCATGTTTGTTTTAGAATTCTACTTACGTCCACGGGAACTTCGTCAAACGATCCCAGCTTACATGACCACAGCTGGTTTAACTCCTTTAAGTTGCGTCTCGCCTGGAAACGAATATACTAGCGGTATGATGAAGTTGAATGTATATTTGCGTTTTATAGGTGATATGACATCAGAGGGGGATGTTACGAAACAGCTTACTCTAGTGACAGTGATCCTCTGCTGACAAAAGTGGGAGCCATGTGGATTTACTTCATGACACGATGACTCATGTGTATTTTTTGACACGCACCAGGTAATTATGTGCAGTGGAGAAGCCTTGTGGATAGACGTGTCTTATGAAACGGGAAATCTTGTGTGTTTCGATAAGTATCAGGTGATTATGTAACAATATGATGCAAACCTTATGAAATGTGTTCACGTGGGCATTATGTATCTTATCCAGTAAATCCGAGACCGCCTCCGTGGTCCAGTGGTAGAGCGTCCGCCCGGAGAGCGCAAGGTTCGAGGTTCGATCCCCGGCCGCGTCATACCACGTTAAAAGATGGTACTTGTTACCCTGTCTGGCGCTCGGCATTAAGGGGCTAAAACAAGGACTGGTCGGCTCGGAGTCAGTATACTGTGTCTGAGTGGGGTATTCATGTTAAACTGCGGCATGGCATCTCAGTGGGCTAGCACTATAATTCGGAATCAGTCCCGACTGGTGCAAGCAGCCACACAAACACACACACGTACATGCACGTCGCTATATAAGTGCGATAATATTGACCTCACCATTAAATCTGAAAAAGTCAAGTGAGTACTTATTAAAACGGCTGTTCGGAATGTGACTAGTATCAATTGGTAAGGATATGTTGACTAGCGGCATTCGCCCTGATTCAGAAATCAACCATCCGGATCATGTATTAAGACTTTATGACGCAAATATGATAGTATAGAGCACACGATATTTAGCTGCGAAGATTTTGCGCGTAACATGACTTCTCCATAATCAAAGTCACGAGATTCTGTAGCTCACTGGCGATGTCAGGATGGTCTTTAGCTCACTGGCGATGTCAAGATTTTCTGTAGCTTACGGGCAATTTCAGAAGGTTCTATAACTCACAGACGATGTTAGGATGTTCTGTAGCTCACGGGCAATTTCAGAAGGTTCTATAACTCACAGACGATGTTAGGATGTTCTGTAGCTCACGGGCAATTTCAGAAGGTTCTATAACTCACAGATGATGTTAGGATGTTCTGTAGCTCACGGGCAATTTCAGAAGGTTCCACAACTCACAGACGATGTCAGGGTGTTCTGTAACACACAGGCGATGTCAGGGTGGTCTTTAGCTCACAGACGGTTCAGAAGGTTCCACAAATCACAGACGATGTTAGGATGTTCTGTAGCTCACGGGCAATATTTTAGAAGATTCCACAACTCACAGACGATGTCAGGATGTTCTGTAGCTCACGGGCCATTTCAGAAGGTTCCACAACTCACAGACGATGTTAGGATGTTCTGTAGCTCACGGGCAATTTCAGAAGGTTCCACAACTCACAGACAATGTTAGGATGTTCTGTAGCTCACGGGCCATTTCAGAAGGTTCTATAACTCACAGACAATGTTAGGATGTTCTGTAGCTCACGGGCAATTTCAGAAGGTTCTATAACTCACAGACAATGTTAGGATGTTCTGTAGCTCACGGGCCATTTCAGAAGGTTCCACAACTCACAGACGATGTTAGGATGTTCTGTAGCTCACGGGCAATTTCAGAAGGTTCCACAACTCACAGACGATGTTAGGATATTCTGTAACACACAGGCGATGTCAGGAGGTTCTTTAGCTCACAAACGATGTCAGGATGTTCTGTAGCTCATGGGAAATTTCAAAAGGTTCTGTAACTCACTTGTAATGTCAAGATTTTCTGGAGCTCACGGGCAATTTCAGGAGTTCTGTAACCCACAGCCAGGGCGGGGGGTTCTTAAATTTAAAGTAAAATCTCAAAATCTTTAATTGCAACAAAACCCATAAACGGCAGACAATTATATGAACACTGTGAAAATACTGAAAGATTCTCACTGGATATCTTCAGTGTTTCTGTTCTGTATACAGACATACCGCGCTACACAGCCCACAACATACAGAATAGCGGCACAGAGTTCACCTTGTAATACAGTAGCACTGTCAGTTTCAAAACCCACAAGACAGTTCACAGTTCACAAGCCAAATATAAGAAAACATGTCTTCAAACAGGTTTACGACGACGCTGTGAGAAAATATATATCAGCTTCATTATAAATATTTGGTCTCAGTTATTTAATGGCTTCCGAACGTTGATGTAGAACTCTGTGTGGTTCCTTGAGATGTCATTTCCCTGACGCGAGATCTCACTGACAGAGCGGAACAATGAGTGAGTGAGTGAGTTGGGTTTAACGCCGCTTTTAAGAATATTCCAGTTATATCACGGCGTGTCAGCTTAATGTGGGACGAAAGCCCGAAGTGATGCAGGTCTCAAACGTTTACCACTTCGGTGAAACCCACGAGCACGGGTATGGTGCTGACAAGCCTAGAAACATAATCGGGACGAACCAGGATTCGAACCCATAATCATAGGTTTCTGGCTTGCCGAAGGGAGACAACTCTGCACAGCGAATCGCGGCGCCTAAGACGACTGGGCCACAATTGCCCCCAGCGGAACAATGAACAACGTATGATCTTTTCATGGATAAGGGTCATTAGTGGGTCTTTGAATTCAATCTGTGGAAACTATGAAGTGGAGATATGTAAATCAACAATATTAAATAACCGCATGTGTATGGTATACATTGCACCGTATGTGCTTGATGGAGATTTTGTGGGGCATGTCCTTTTGGGGCTTGACACCGTGGTTTGTAACGCAGAATGAGCAGCTACAAGTCACAACCAGTGTCACTACTATCTGAGGTTATATAAAAGGAAAGAGGTCAACTCACCAAGGACGATATCCACAATGTTCACAGTAAATAGGGGCGATCGGGTAGCCTAGTGGTTAAAGCGTTCGCTCGTCACGCCGAAGACCCTAGTCAGATTCCCGACACGGGTACAATGTGTGAAGCCGAGTTCTGGTGTCCCCCTCCGTGATATTGCTGGAATATTGCTAAAAGCGGCGTAATAGACCTGTGACTATATACTCACATCAAGCCAACAGATCTAACTACATAATGAGACATGTGTCATTCAAAAAGATTAAGCTTTAAACACTGGGAAAAAAAGAGATTATTATACAAGCATGAGTGTCATACTGATTTTACGAAACGAGCGAGAGCGAGGGTTCATGAATTCTAATTCGAGTTTCCTAAAATCTGTATGACTCACATGTGAGTGTAATAATGTATTTATTACCCATTATTTCTTAATCCTTGTGACTTTCCCTTCAGAAAAATGCAGTGATCGTCACCGCCGTCCTAATAAAACACAATGAACACGTGAACACTTTTCAGCATTGACGTCATTTCTAGTGTGACGTCATTGCGACCTTACGTCATTATAAGATTCGAATGATGTCAACAATGCCGTCCGGACAATACACCGGTGCGCGAGAAGTGATATTTGCACTAGAGTACATACTCGGTTCTTTCTAAGCCTATGGGTAATAATAGTACACATGCTAGGCATTGTTTAATCATAAAACAATGTTACACTGAAATATGCAAATGTATGATATCTACAAGATGTAGGCGATATTAATGTATTTACATTGATGTTTTTATGTACAGTTTCAAGAATGGCATTCAATAACAATCTGTCTGTGACTCCGAGCCTGACACATACCTAGCCCTCGAAATTCACCCGAGACAAAAAGTACGTTTGCGATGAGCCCTAATGGCAAGGGGAGGAACGCCAGACATGCTGAACATGCGTCGAGCGTACTGTGGAGTATGTACCTCGACGTCATGTGGGTTGTAAGACGGAATATGTGATTAATACTACAGTAAACTACGTTTATAACGAACACGCTTATAACGAACTGACGGATATAACGAACTTACTGTTTTGTCCCTAAAATTTGCTCCAGTTACAGGGTAAGAAATTGGCACTAATCCTATAGTCCTTGCCAATCTGCCCAATAGTTAAGGTATCATAACGACTAGTAGATATTTGCCATTTTTAAGGGTTTTGCTATATGTTACCATTTAAAGGACTAGTGGACTAAAATGTTAGTTTCTACCGCTGAGTTATGCTGTATATATGCTTATAACGAACTACGGTTATAACGAACTAAAATTAGTGGTCCCTTTGAGTTCGTTATAACCGTAGTTTTCTGTACTTATAAGAAATTAAAGATTTTTTCAAATGACAGTTGTTCATCTGCCATGCCATGAATAGTTTGCATCATCCCCGGCAGTGAGCACCATGCACTATAACCTGTTGACGTGCGAGAACGTAAGTCTTGTGTTCAAGGGGCGAACTGTCATGCATTTGGAAATATTTGGGTGAGTTTGCCAGCTGTAGTTAAGAGGTGGAAGAGTGGAGACACAATGCTACAAAATACAAACCTTACCTTCTCTGAGCAATATCAGGAATGATGAGGTTGTTTGTGAATATTCCAGTTGTGTCGTCACCAATCAGCACTCGCACAGTGGACGCTTGGCTTAAGTAATGTCAGAGAGGTCGTGATGAATGATGACTGAGTTATTTCATAGACTTTGTTTAAGTCCATTTGATATTCAGAGGGGGTTGGGGGTGGGGTCTGGGGGTGTTTGTGGGATTGGGGGTGGGGTCTGGGGGTGTTTGTTGGGTCGTGGTGGAAAATAATCAGTTGTCTTTGAATATTGGTGAAAAAAATTATTATACTTCAGACTGTTGAAAAAATGGAAATTGCATTGTTGCATTGTCTCCCTAAAAATCTCAGAGCCTTACTAAAAACATAGCTGGTTTTGCAATAAAGAAATGTAGCTGAAAAAAATGCATTCTTCATACAAAATCCCAAACCTCCTCACACGGGCCGTGAACACTTGGCTAAAGTACTGTCACGGAGACGGTGATGCCTGCTCATCTTATATATTATATAATAAAGAGACAATATTAAATTCAAAATGTCAAACCATGTCAGCTGCAATTGGCTTAGGTTAGGGGAATACCACTTCGTGGT